AGGCTATAGTGGGGTATCCTATAGGGGGTACAACCCAATTAGAGTTTCCTATTTGTACTCACCTTGTTCATAGTTCAATCATTCTCGTTCTTTCTTTTCACTTTCTGCGCCGAAATCCACGCCGAGCAGCAAGACATGGATCTGCAAGAAGAGCGACACAAAAAGAAGACATCAGCACTGGATTTCGCGTTCCTCACTCAGCGACGCTACAACAACAACAACAACAACAACAACAACAACAACAACAACAACAACAACAACAACAACAACAACAACAACAACAACAACAACAACAACAACAACCGGCAGCAACAACCGAAGCCAGTACCTCCGTTCTGCCACATCTGCAAAACTTCAGGACACCCGCGTACGCATTGCTCGAATCGTCAACAGTGAACAACTCCACAGCGACAACTTCGACCTTCAAGCAGCCAAATCGCCTCAACGCAAGCAAATCTCACGACTCAGATTCAAGCTTCAACGACCTCAACAGGACAACCTGCACAAGGAGCAAGAAACATCGTCAGCTGCATGGCAAAGCTGAGTGACTCCTGCATCACCGAGTCACCACCACACTACTCACCGGAAGAACAACTCGACGAAACCACACCCCGCCGCGAGTCACTTAAGCCGAACCCGACATACGCCGCCATCGCCCAAAGGGAACCATCCGAAAGGGACACATGGTTCTTGGACAGTTGCTGCGGACAGCACATGTGCTCCTCGGGACGCTTCGTTCAACGAGAACATCAACTTCAACGCGAAGTTGTCATTACAGTCGCCAACAATCAGAACCTGCGAACACGACGACAAGGCGTAGTTCAACTTCAATCAAGGGAAACAAACGCTATACTGCATATTTCAAAAGTACTAATCGTGGAGGGACTCGGCTACAACTTACTGAGCGCCAGTCAGCTAATGGCGAAGGGGATTCACCTCAAAGTAGACAGCACCACCAAAGAATTCAAGGTGTATCACGGGAGAGGAGGACTCTATATCGGCAAGGCGATCCTCAAGAACAACGTCTTCGTTCTTCATTTCGTTCCTGACCTTGGCACCGCCGACAGCGACGCCATCGTCAACTCCACCAACTGGACAGACCCTCCAGACCTTAATCCAGACTTCAGTCCAGAAGGTTTCTGGTATTCACACACCATCCCTGAAGAAGAAAGAACAAGGGCGTTAGCAACAATTCAGACAACATCAGCAGCAGCAGAGACAATATCGGTAGCAGCAGAGACGTCGGCAGCAGCAGAGACAACATCGGCAGCAGCAGAGACAATGTCGGCAGCAGCAGAGACAACAACGGCAGCAGGAGGAACGTCAACACCAATCGCTGGTCCTTCAACAACACCGCTCCTCATCGACGACACACCACCAACACCCGCGCAACAGCTACACCCAGCACCACGAGTTCATCGTAGCGCCAACTTCACCGCCAACTTCTACTCCAACTCCGACATGTACCGACATCACCCGGACATCGCGCCGATGAAAGCACCTAGCACGCAGGGATGGGACATCCAAGCAACACAGTATTAAATAATACAATAAGAGCAGGAGTACTCGACAAGGACTCACTCCTACGGACCGACGGACGGGAACTTCAACGAGTACGCGGAACGTGCTTCACCTGCCCTGAAGGTGACTTACCACATCGACCGTTCGCGCCTCATCACAACCCGAGCGCTCTCGCGTACGCACCACTCGAGAAGGTGTATAGCGACATCCTGTTCAATCGGGAACCAGGACAAGTAACATACAACTACACGATCACCTTCATTGATGCCACCACCCGTTACATCTGGCACCTAAACCTCCTTAGCCGCGACATGGCATTCGCAGCCTTCGTTGCCTGGCTACCAATAGCAGAGAAAGAATCGGGCGTGCAACTGAAAAGCTTCCAATAAGACGGAGGAGGAGAATACACCTCTCAGCAATTCAAGCAGAATCGGGCGGAAAGAGGAATCAAGCAGCTCATCTCCCTTTCCTACGCCCATCAGCAGCAAGGTATAGCAGAAAGAATGAACAGGACCCTGCAGAACAGCATGCGCAAACTGTTAAGTGGCATGCGGCTACCCAACCACCAGTGGCCTGCAGCAATGGACCACGCTGTCATGCTGCACAACTTGCTGTCGTCATCATCGCTTTCGAACAACGCATCACCGCATCTGCTATGGACAGGGAAACAGGGCAGCACAAAAATGTTACGAGTTTTCGGATGCATGGTACAGTACCGACCCCCAGCAGCACGAGCGGGCCGATTTTCTCAACGAGCACAGTGGGGACTACACCGAGGAATCGAAAAGAACTACAACACGTGGAAAATCTTTGACGTCCACTCCAAGGAAACAGTAGCAGCACGTGACGTAATTTTCTACGAACGACTCACGCTCCAGACATACCTTGCCAACTTGCAAGAAGACGAAGATCCCACAGGTGGTTTTCGTGGTGACCAAGCCTTCGCCTCAGCAGCGGACGAAGCTGACTGGGACGAGCAGAATGTGGACAACGCATCAGAAGAAGCCGGACCTCTCCCGTTCTGCTCCGTCGACGTTCTCATGGAGGAAGACAACCCTCGCGAAAGTGCCAACGCCGAAACCTTCTTCCATTTCGCCGACAACGGTTACGTAACACCTACGACAGTCAACACCAACGAAGCAGAACGAATATGACCGAACTTCATACCTGATCCAGAAGCGGGAGATGAAGCAGCTTATCCCGAGGACGTAAATCTTCCCCGCTACTCACGGAGTGGACTGTAGATTCTCGGACTCGTCACCGCAGTCCACGGCTCCGCCACTCCTAAAGAGCATGGGACGGTTCAGCAGGATCTGGGGGGGGAACATAAGGAAAATTGGCGCGAAGCCATGGACAAGGAACTAAAGGCACTGGAGGAACACAACACGTGGAAAGTGGTTCCTATCGGCGTGGCACGGAACAAGACAGTGCTCACCGGGAAGTGGGTCTTCCGTGTGAAGACAAAGGCTGACGGCACCATCGACAAATTTAAGGCACGCTGGGTTGTACGCGGCTTCGACCAAGAGCACGGACGAGACTTCACCGAAACCTTCGCTCCGGTTAGCCGCCACACCTCTCTACGCATTCTCCTCGCAATCGCCGCCATGAAGAAGAAGAAGCTACGACAAATCGACGTCGCGAACGCGTTTCTCTACGCACCTGTTGATGCATAAATCTTCGTCGAGCTACCGCACGGCTCCCACACAGAACCCAACCAAGTCTGCCAGCTACTCAAGTCACTACGGCATCAAGCAGGCTCCGCGACTGTGGCAACAGTACCTGCATGCTCGCCTCATCCGCATCGGCTTCAAGCAACTACCGCACGATCAAGGCATGTACCGGCTCACTAAAAACGACGACTACATCCTACTAATCGTCTATGTGGACGATCTCCTTTACATCGGCTCAACTGACGGCATCACCACCTGGTTCGAAGGGGAGCTGCAACGGGATCTCACGCTCATAATTTCATCTACCCTCACTCAGTACCTCGGCCTCAACATCCGGGAAGAGGAGGACGCGATCTACCTCAGCGCCGAGAAATATGCTGACACTATCGCCAAACGCTTCACGCTCACACCGACAGCCATCTCCACGCCATACCGATACAGGGCAGGGAACGACTAAGGAAACTCCGCTCTACTTAAGCCCGCCGGCATACGAGACTACCAGAAGAAGCTGGGATGTCTTCTCTTCGCAGCCGTCACCTGTCGCCCCGACCTCTCATACTCCGCAAGCCAGCTCGCTACCTACCTCAAGAAGCTTGAAGTAGAACACCTGCCGGAGCTCGACCGCGCCCTACACTACTTCGTCAGCACCCCAACGATCGGCCTAACTTATTACAAGAACGCAACCACACCGACTAAGTTAATCGGCTACGTCGACGCTGATCACGCTGGCGACTCCGACAATAGGCGCTCCCGCACCGGCTACATCTACCGTCTCGAACCTATCGGACCTATCTCCTGGCAATCGAGCAAGCAGGAACTAATTGCTCTCTCGTCAGCTGAAGCAGAATATATTGCACTCTACTCAGCCACCAAGGAAGGACTCTATCTTCGCGAGCTGCTGGAAGAAGCGAAGTTAGCCGAGTTACCCAACTTTACCCTGTTCTGCGACAACCAGTCGGCAATTCGCATCGCCAACAAGAACGGCTTCGCGAACAGGACGAAACACATCGCCCTGCGATATTTCTTCGTGAATGACGAGATCGAGAAGGGAAGGCTCGAGTTGTCATACTGTCCCACGTCTGAGACGGTAGCTAACTACCTGACCAAGAAGCTCGGAAAGCAGAAGTTCGAATACTGCATGCTGCTGACTGGACAGAGCCACGTCAGCGACACTACAGAAGCGAAGGGGAGTGTTGGAAACAATCGGTCATAAGCGCCTCTGTCGTGTCGAAACACTAAGGCACAAGCGAAGCAAAGCATATCGAGCAGGGCTTCAGAATCGTTTTGGGCCACCCTTAGTAATCAGGGTTCTAGGTATAGTCAACCCTGACGTGTAGGGTAAAAATTTTGTTTCCCTGACAAAAGCAGGGTAGAAACAAAGTTAGTCTGTTGGGGCGGGGTATAAATGTTTTAAAATGTATATATACAACGCTATGTGTACCAGTTTGATCAATAACGAAGATGATGCGGAAGGTCGCATGTTCGAGTCTTGTCTCGCTTCGGAGCATTCTGTAACAGTATGACTGAGATCGTATAGTGTACAGTCAGGGAAATGAATTACTTTCGCTGTTTTTCTAAGGGTTAAAAAAAACTTACACTTTATGGCCAGATGACAGGGTGAGCTAGATGACAGGGTGAGCTAGATGACAGGGTGAGCTAGATGACAGGGTGAGCTAGATGACAGGGTGAGCTAGATGACAGGGTGAGCTAGATGACAAGGTGAGCTAGATGACAGGGTGAGCTAGATGATAGGGTGAGCTAGATGACAGGGTGAGCTAGATGACAGGGTGAGCTAGATGACAGGGTGAGCTAGATGACAGGGTGAGCAGGACACCACATGCTGCTCTGCTGCTGCCCCACACTTCCACCACCACCACGCTGATGGCGCTCCACCCACTCCCCATGCCACTGCTGCTGCCGTTCCCTACTGCCACCACCGCTACTGCCTGCAGGAGCCATGTTGAGTGGAGCAGTGGGTAGGGAGGGGGGAGCAGCGCGTAGGGAGGGGGGAGCAGCGCGTAGGGAGGGGGGAGCAGCGCGTAGGGAGGGAAGGAAGGCGCGATCTAGAGAGGGACCGGATAGTCTAGTGGGACGGAGTTGACAGGAGCGAGAGACGAGCGTGAGAGATCGATGGGGCAATTTCCATGTGTGAGCGGTGGGTTTGGGCGATCGCGGCGGGAGGAAGGGCAAGACGGCATTGAGTGAGCGATGCGAATGAGGGACGTCAGGCGATTGGCGGAGAGGGATGGGAAGCGCGGCAATGACGGGCGGGGCAGAAGCGACGGGTGGGACGGGAGGAATGGGAGGCGGGGACGGATGGGACGACTGGAACGGGAGTGACGGGAGAGGCGGGGAGGCCGACCACGCGACGACGGCGAAGGAAGGAGCGGGGACGACGGGAGGGACGAGAGCAACAGGCGTCGCGGGAGCCACGGGAAAGACGGGAGCGACGGGAGCGTGAGCTACCGGAGCCAACGGGAGAGGCAGATCGCGATATAAGTAAAGCGCATACCGCACGCGAGCGATGGGATTGGGAGTGACGTGAGGAAGGGGAATGACCTACAACATGTGTTCCGTCAAAATTCTAAGTTTGATGCTGGGTGATGGGCGTACTTTTCGGCTATATCAGAACGGGTGAGCTGTGGGTACCTACTACACAACGAGTCTTGAACGGTAGTCTCAACTTTCAAGTTTCCGTGAGTGTGAACAGTGGACTCAGTTTGGTTGTTTCTCACGATCCTCGCTCGGAGTTTTTGCTTGGGTGCATTTGGCCAATCAACTTCCGACTCTTCAATCCCTTTTCGGACAATCGCTGTTATGAATGAACTTGCAGAGTGAGCAGTAAAACGAATAACGAGAATGACTGAGTACTGAATGACATACAATGAGAAAGGCACGACTAAATAGGGGAAGTCCTAGCTAGGCGGAGAGGTTGGGCGAGGATGGCTCGGTGATGGTTGCGATTGGAGCGAAGGCGACTCGGGAGTGGTTCGGTGCGACGAAATAGGAAGGACAGGTTCGTCGCGTGACCCTCGGGATGGCCTCGCTAACGAGTGCCTCAGCAAGGATTCTGTAAATCCTTACAATCGCGAGAGAGAGTAACTTCAAAGCAGGTTACCGTGTTCTTAGGCGAAATCATGTTCAAGAATCTTGAACTTGAACCCTTGCCATTCTAGACTCGGGCTTTAAACGGTACACTAGCAATTAGTCATTTCACCCATTCGCTAAACTACCGTAGGAATCCTCCAAAGCTTGCTCAATTGCGCTAATGAATGGTACTAAAAGAATAAATATAAATATGGTACACACAAAGCAACAAGGAAACTCGCTACAAACACATCTACAACAAAAACACATACTAATGCAGCCCCTTACTAACCGCAACAGCCATGGGATAGGAGATACAGCACGATCCCTAGCTCTCCCCATTTCCATCCGCACCGCACCCTCCTCTCCCATGCCCTTGTGCTGATGCTGCCAGCTAAGGAGAAATAAGCGATGAAACCTTACCATTTATTATCTTCATTATTGTGGTCATTATTCGCAGTAGTAGTAATAGTACAGTAGCACTCTTATTATTGTAGAACGGAAAGCGTAGCGTGGCGTGTGGACCGCAGAGCCCAACCTTCCTGGATGCCAAGTGGAAGACTGACTGGCTGGCTGTGGGCTCGACTCGATGCCACTCGACTCGATGCCATGCCACTTATGACAAACTGATGTATGATACAAGAAAAGGGACACTGGTCGCCCGTGGTTGCTGCAGTTAATGCTGCCCATCATCGCTCCTAGTGCTGCTGGTGCTTGCGGTGCCACCAGGAGCAGGCAGGGGCCTCCCTCTCTGCAGTATGATCTGTCGCAGTGTCATGCAGATGTTGCTGCGAGATGCCTCCTCCACTCCTCCTCTTAGACCTGCTGCTGCTCCTGCTGCTCCTGATCCTGCTGCTGATGATCTTGCAGACGTTGCGGGTCTCCAGGACGGGGATGATTGGACAGGAGGAGCACAGGCTACTGTTGCTGCTGCTGGCGGTCGCAGCCTGCTGCTACTGTTGCCCGATAGAGAGATGTACCGCCCAGGGCTACCGCTGCTGCTGCGCCTAGAACCATAAGCAGCAGCTGCTGGTGCTGGTGCTGCCGCTGCTGGTGCAGGAGCAGGAGCTTGAACGCAAGCCGGGGGAGGAGCAGCAGCAGCAGCAGCAGCAGCAGTAGAAGGAGGACCACCGTAAGCAGCATGAGCAGCAGAGGCAACGCTGTTTCGGATGGTAGCAAGAGGGGTTCTTGTGGAGTGCCGACCACTAGCACCACTGCTGGTACTTCCACCACCACCAGAAGCACCAGCACCACCAGAAGCAGCAGCAGCAAAACGAGCACCAGCAGCACCACCACCCACACCGCCACCACCGCTGCAGTGGCCGCTGCTGATGTTGCTGCTGCTGGGCTGGACCTGACTCTGCCGAGCTGCGTTTGCTCCGTTGCTCCTGGTGTTGCTCCTGGTGTTGCTGTTGCTGTTGCTGTTGGTGCTGGCAATCGCCTTGGGGTTGGCGGCGCTGCTGCTGCTGTTGCGCGTGCCAGACGGCCTCAGCTGTCGTCCACCTAGAGTGTTGCCTCTTGTCGTGTTACCACCAGCAGCGCCACCACCGGCACCACCAGCAGCATTAGCAGCACCAGCACCAGCACCAGCAACAGCACCAGCACCACCACCACCACCAATCCAGCCGCTGACAGCATTGTTACCAGTAGCACTACCAGCTACTCCCCCACTTCGCCTGACGCCCTGGCGCTCCTCCACCGTCCCCACCCTCATCATCTTCCCTCCAGGATAACTCCCTTGCACCGGCACTGCCACACTTCCCTCCTCCCCACCCTCCTGTCTCACTCCTCCTCCTCCTCCTCCTCCTCCTCCTCCTCCTCCTCCTCCTCCTCCTCCTCCTCCTCCTCCTCCTCCGAATCCTCCTCCTCCTCCGAATCCTCCTACCCCTCCGGCTCCTCCTCCTCTCTCTCCTCCTCCATCTCGTTCCATCATGCTGCGGCTGCGCTTGAAAGGAGAAGCAGATGCTGAGAAGGCATGTGCAGGAACATTGGACCAACCAAGGGGACTCATGTCCAGACCTCCATTCCACATGCCGCCATGCATCCCCCCCTCCATCTCCCCTCCCATACCCATACCCATACCCATGCCCATGGGCATGTCAACATGTGGCTCGGAAAGCATGGTAGAGAGATCATACTCCAGCTCCAAGGCCTGCTCATGCGTTTGAAAGCTCTGCACATGTGCTCTGAAGCTCTGCTCGTGCGCTTGAAAGCCCTGCTCCTGCTCCTGCTCATGCTCCTGCCCATGCACACTGAAGTTTTCCACATAGGCATCAACGGCTTTCAGCTGCGCTTCAAAGAGCGAGAGCGCATGCGCATCATTGGAAGAGTGCTGCCCCTGCTCGCCTGCTGCAGACCCTCCTGCTGCTCCTCCTACTGCTGCTGCTGCTGATAAAGCTGCTGGTGCTGCGTCCGATAGCGATGCGGCCGATGGGTCTCCAGTCTTCTCTCTGGTGTCACCGGGAGAAAAAACAGCTGAAGTCAGCTGTGAGCTGGGCGGTGGCATGCGAGTTGAATCCTCAGCATACCCGCCTGGCTGCATGGATTGAGGCAGCAGCCAGTCAGGCGGGTGGTGCAGAGGAACCAAGCCCGTGCCACCACTTACAGACACATCCCGGTGACCAAGAGAAGCAGAAGCAGAAGCAGAAGCAGAAGCAGAAGCAGAAGCAGAAGCAGAAGCAGAAGCAGAAGCAGAAGCAGAAGCAGAAGCAGAAGAACCAAGGGCCATGGCAGAAGCAGCGGCAGAGACGGCAGCAGATGCAGAAGCCGGAGCAGCAGCAGACAGAGCGAGAGTATTATCATTCTCCGCATTGATACCATTAGCAGCAGCAGCACAAACAGCAGCAGAAGGAGCAGCAGCAGCAGCAGCAGCAGCAGCAGCAGCAGCAGCAGCAGCAGCAGCAGCAGCAGCAGCAGCAGCAGCAGCAGCATCAGCATCAGCATCAGCATCAGCATCGTCAGCAGCAGCGGGATTATCCTCGTCTGCATGGCACGGCGCGTCATCCTGCGCGATCAGAAAATCAGGAAAATCCCCGAAATCGAGCCCAAGGTCGAAGTCGTCGATATCAATACCACCCAGCTCTCCTGCTGCTCCACCCGCTGCTGCCCCTGCTGCAGCGCCGGCAGAGAGAGGCGAGGTCCCGGAAAGGGGCGTGCAGTTGGAAAGCGGTGTGGTGCCAGAAAGGGGTGTGTTGTTGGAGAGAGGAGTGTTGCCTGCACACGGTGACAGCCAGATCTCTGGTTCATCTTCCTCCTCCTCATCCAGCCATGTGGGGATACCAGAAGCATGTGGAATCGGCACCGTGTCAACGGGAGGAGCGGTGGTTGTTGTGGCAGCAGCAGCAGTAGCAGCAGCAGCAGGAGCAGCAGCTGCAGCAGGGGTAGGAGCAGGAGCAGACGCACAAGCAGGAACAAGTGCAGGAGCAGGCGCAGGAGCAGGAGCAGGAGAAGGGGTGAAATGGCACCCCACACCACTGAAACCACTCAATCCACTGGCACTCTCACCAGCCACCACCGTTGCTGCTGCTGCTGCTGTGCCTAACGTCTCCTTGCTGTTCCCGAACGAGTTGCTGCAGCGACCGCTGCTGCTGTTGCTCCTGGGACCTGCGGTAGAGAGGTCATCAGGTGCAGCAGCAGCAGCAGGAGACGGAGGAGCAGCAGAAATTGCAGCAGCAGCAGCAGGAGCGGCAGGAGCAGGGGAAGGAGCCGAAGCAGGGGGGACTGGCGTGGAGTAATATGCAGGGGGAGAGGGGGATGGTAACACATCCATCCCCGGCATATCCATGCCTTCATCGTCAGCACAATCATCAGCATCATCAGCATCAGCAGCACCATTGCCATAGCCATCATAACCATCACCCAAACCTCCCTCCATCTCTCCCTCCATCTCTCCCTCCATCTCTCCCTCCATCTCTCCTTCCAGTTCTCCCGCCATCCCTCCCTCCATCCCTCCCTCCATACCCATGCTACCTTCACACATGCTCGCATCCAGCTCCGATAACATCCCCATGCCCATCCCCATGTCACCCATACCCATACCCGCACCCATCCCCATCCCCATCCCCATCCCCATCCCCATCCCCATACCCATACCCACGCCCATGCCCATATCAGGAACCATGCCAGCAGCAGCAGCGGCAGCGGCAGCAGCAGGAAGAGGAGCGGACATGGCACGGGGAGGCAGCTGGGCGACGGATGGGTGGGACCCCTTGTTGTACACACGGCACAGCACGAGCGAACCCTGCATGGGGAGAGAGGGCAGGCACAACAAGGAAGGAAACTTCTTTTTAGCACGGGGAGGCTGCTGGGCGAGAGGTGGATGGGTGGGACCCCTTGTTGTACACACGGCACAGCACAAGCGAGCCCTGCATGGGGAGAGGCGGCAGTTGCGACAGGGAAGGAAGGAGAAGAAAGGACCATTCGTTGGCAAGGGCATGGCATATCTAATAAGTGCAGCACACAATTAATGAATCATCACGACAGAGCATCACAATCACAATCACCATCACCATCACCATCACCATCACCATCACCATCACCATCACCATCACCATCACCATCACCATCACCATCACCATCACCATCACCATCACCATCACCATCACCATCACCGCACGCACGCATCACAATCACCACCACACTTACCACAGGTCGCCGGCCGCTGCTGCTGCGCTGCTCCAGGCGATACTCATGCATGACCCACTCCGTCCTCCTCCCTCTCGGCGCTCGCCCTTCATAGTACACCAACGTCTTCTTCATCCCCACCACCACCCCATCCATCTGCCCATGCCCGTGCCCGTGCCCGCGTGGGAACCCGAACCCGTGCGCATACCCATGCCCGTGCATGTGTGCCAGAGCGTGGGCATGCGGCGGCAGCATGTGAGGGGAGTCATAAGCTTCCCCCATATAAACTGACTGCTGCTCCTGCTGCTGGTGCTGCTGCTGCTGCTGATGATGATAATGATTCAGCATCCGCGACTGGTTACCAGCGAACATGTTACGCTGGTGGGGTGCAAGATAACGACCATTGTCCATAGCCGAACCGCCCATGCCCGGCATGATCCCATCCCCATCCGCCCTCTCCCCCTCTTCCCCGTCCTCCCCCTCCCCCTCCTCATCCGCTATCGAAGGGTCATCCAAACATCCCCCGAACAACCCTCCCCCCCCGCGCCTGCCCAGCAACGCGCGGGACAACTGCCTCCCCACACCCCCGCCCATCCCCGCGCCCATCCCCGCGCCGATGCCCCTGCTCGCGCCCGCGGCAATGGCGGCGCCAAAGACGGGGTCGCAGTGGATGGTGCGGTCGTTGCCCGTGGCCTTCCAGTAGCCGTTGGCCGTGCAGCGGTTGGTGCGCCGCGAGTGCCCGTACTTGTGGCTTCGCGTGGAGAAGAAATACCACTCGCCGTCGCCGATGCAGCACGACACTGGGAGGAGGGGGGGAACCAGGGGGGCAGCGGGGGCAGGTGAGGAAGGGAAGGGCGTAACGGGGAAGGGAAGAGCAGGAAGGGAAGAGCAGGAAGGGAAGAGCAGGAAGGGAAGAGCAGGAAGGGAAGAGCAGGAAGGGTGGCGGATGAGTATCGAACGGCCGTAGAAGAGTCACCACTCGCTGCTGCCGATGCCGTGAAGAGAAGGGGGAAGTGCGCAGGCAGCGGGAAAGCGCGCAACGAACGGGAGAACACCGGATATATGAGTCAACTCAAAGAGAGAGGAAAGGAGAAGCACGGTCGTGCACCGGATACATGGAACGGGCAGAAGCAGCAGCAGGCAAGATCGATCCTCGTTAAGAAGATAAGATCCCTAGGAAGGGGCAGAAGCAGGCAAATTCGATACTCGTTATAGGAAAACTCACTAGGAAGCTCCCACGGCTCCATATCCAGGGCATCCAGATCTGCAATCATCGTCATCCAATCCTGCTGCTGCTGTGGCGGCGGCGGCATCTCTTCCCCTTGAAGCTCCCGCCTCCCCCCATCCGCGCGCATTCCCGCGTCGCGCCTCCCACCAGCAGCGGCGGCTGCCCGCCGTCCCGCTTGAACCGGCGGGTTAGACGGTATCACGCCAAGGGAATCGTCTGCGAGGCGCGCGCGCGGCACGAGGTAATGCGCCACGAGCTCCTCGTCCGTAGGCTTAAAACGGTAGCCAGGCGGAAGCGGCGGAAGCGGCTGCGTTTCTATTCCCTGCTCTGCCGCCGCCGGCCCGCCCCCGTGCGCCCCCACCGGGGGGTTGAGATGGACCTTGTCTGCGCCGGAGGCAGTGGCCGCGGCGGCAGCAGCCGCGGAGGCCGCCATCTTCGCTGCAGCTACAGCGGCAGCAGCCGCCGCAGCAGACGGCTTACGGGGAAGCTTATTATCCCCTCCGCCGGGGCCGGCGCGGGTAGCTCCTCCGGACATAAAGTCTTGCGCCGGCTGTCCTCCTCCCGCGCCCTGCTGCTCCGCCTCCCCTGCCACACGGGAGTCTTCCGCGGATAACTTCCGCTCAAGCGCAGCCCCTGCGGCGAACACGCGCGCGCTGCCCGCGCACCCAACGGTTGCGCCCTGGCGGAAGCCGCCGGCGGGCTCCTTTGAGCGCTTCTTGGACATGAGGCGGCTGGAGAGATGGCGCGCATAGCCGTTGATGCCGGACGGGGCGGCAGACGCGTGCGGCTGGCCGTTCTGGGTCTGCGCTAGCCCGTGGTTAGCCCCCCGAGCCTGCGCCGGCGCGTGGCTGTTGCGCGGGTGCACGTACGCGGGTGACAGGGGCACTGTGGAGCGGGGCGACGAGTGGTAATGCTGCTGCTGCTGCCGCGGCTGGATCGGCCGAGCAAGAGGATTAGGGTGCGAAGCGGTCGGATGATTCTTCAGGCCACTCTGCTGCTGCTGCTGCTGCTGCTGCTGCTGCTGCTGCTGCTGCTGCTGCTGCTGCTGCTGCTGCTGCTGCTGCTGCTGCTGCTGCTGCTGCTGCTGCTGCTGCTGCTGCTGCTGCTGCTGCTGCTGCTGCTGCTCTGTGTTGTGCTCGCGGCGAAAAGTCGAGCCGCCGCAGAGAAACATCTTGAACTGATGTGTCCGCTTAACAGTGTTTCACGACTCACAGAAGAAGATGATTCCAAACGGTAACGAGATTCCACGACAACGAGGTTCTGGTGAGTTCGACTGAGTTTATATGGAATGAATGGCACGAGGAGGCGGAGCCTTGGAGTTTCCCGCTCTAAGCGATGCGACGCGAAGATCTTTTTCTTCCCGTGGCGCTTCGTTACAGCTTTGGCAGCGAGCCTATTAATTCCCCAAAGTCGACGTGGTCACGCGGATGAGTCAACAATGGCTTCGATGACGTGTCGAGGAAGTCTGCGTTGCTCAACAGAAGCAAAAACAGGTGATAAGACGAAAACGCACAAAAACAGTATTTCTACGATGGTTATCGTCGCGTAGCGTATCGTTCCAAGTTCGAATCCACGAATGTCTAACTCGAGAAAACAGAGGAGCTAAAGGTTAGAGGAGGCGAGATAAGAGACTAGATCCTAGAGGTGCAATGGGAGAACGGAGACCGAGAAAGAGGATCGACGGAAACCCATCTGGGGGCTATGAAACAGCGGCATGAGGAAGAGATGCGAGGGGAAGGATGACAACATCGGGACCAAGCCACGGGGTGGGGTAATGTGGGAATATGGTGTGGGGAAGGAGTAGTGTGGCGGAGTTCTGTTCGTTTTTCGAAAAGGGAGCGGGGGGTTGGAAGGAGTGAAGGGGAGAGGTGCGGGCTGGTGGCGGGGAAAGGAAGCGGTGCGTGCGCGGTGGTGTTATCAACTCAGCGCAACAAATCCTTCGCAGCAAGGGAGGGGGTCGGGGAGAGGGGGGGGATGTGCGTGTCCGGCAGTGAGGAGTACGCGCTGGGGGGATGCGGGGAAAGGAAAGCGAAAGGAATGCCTGGCAAGTCCGAAAAAAAAAATCCGCGATGCGCGTCAAGTCGAGCATTTGTTATTCGGTGACAGAAACCAAGGATGGATTCGGTCAGGGTAAATCCTGGCGTATCGTTTGAACTTTGAGATTATTGAATAATCAATAAAACTACAGCTGTTTGCTATGTTTACCAGCACACGTTTCTCATCTACATAAACTATGGGTTTCCTGAGTGGCAACCCTATTGATTTGACGGTCTATGAACATGAATCGGGGCATCGGCAAAACACGACGGCATGGTGGCACCAAGTATATCCTTGTCGCGCGGGCCAAAGTTGGTCTAACCAATGAAACGGAGAGGAGTCACTGTCGAAGGCTGGTTGGTGAACGAGAGAGAAAATGTACAGCACACACCAGTGGCAGCTGGGGAAAACAAAAATGTCACACTTGTGACTTCACATTACGGGAAGAAAATGTATCCTCCACACGATGAAAAAACTTCGTATATCTCAACGGACAACACAGCAGACTCCGGCCAGCCGACGGACCATCGACGTCCATAAACTCATGTTCGCCTGCCCGACAGGCAAGAAAAAATAGATCTTAATATATTTTTGACCCCCAACGCAGAATGACTCTTGGCGGCCTCTGTCACCACCACAGCCAACACCCCGATGCACACGCTACCTAGGTAATTTCGCATCCCGCGCAAGACCCCATGGCTTGTAAGGGCGTGTGTCCATATACATTATATGCGAAACTCGTAATTTTTGCTGAACTTCATACATTTGAAACTAGGTCGACCAAGACTCGACGGTATCGACTTTTTTAACCCGAGCCGCTGCACCTCGCTTCACATGAGTCGCATGGCACACAAATGTTCGACATTCGAAGTTGAACTTTCAAAAGCGACCATCGAGTCGCTACCCACTCAAGTATGTTACCCTGTTGACGCGTTTGTGCTTGTGACGCCGGAAACCAGGTTCACGACAAACCTCGTGCGCACGATGCGTGTTGTAATTCTCGCAGAATTCGCAGGTTACAAGACACACGATCGGCTTTTCGTACACGAGTGGTTTGCACTGAAAGCTCGAACCAAACTTCCGAACGTCTACACCAAAAACAACGCGCCCTAATAGTGAGGTTTTCATGATGTCAATTCCAAGAAATTTCTTGCTCTCATCGGACGCTTGATATTCATGCCGTAAGCTGAAATGAACAATCTACGGTTCAAAACCACTACTACACGAAACTCGGCAGGCAGCACTCCAGCGTTGACTTGATTTGACTGGCCGATGCTGGTCGACCTGGCGGTGACTTTGTCAAACCATACAGATGAGACATCAGGGCAGTAAACCATATCCAATTCTTGAAGCAGGGGTCAAACGAGTACAATTGTGAGCAAATGCAAACACATATATGTATATTTTCAAAAGCTGTAACGCTTTTTAAAATTATGTATTTTGAAAGCGAAGCTGCCTGTAATGTAGGATTTGGCAGCGTCGAGCCGCGCTAAACGCCCGTTTTGGAGTACAAAACGTGGGCTGGAGGTCATTTCCCTCTACCCACGTCTCTCATTTCAGACGGTTTAGCCGATCTGGAGTCTCAATTTTCATTCTCAATTTTCGTCTCCCTTTCCAAGCTGGCGAAGTTGAAGTCTCTTCCCCGTTTTCAATCTCCGTCGACTTTACTCTCGGACATCTTCGCACACAACGCAGCAGCTATGGCACTTAACGGCGGCGAGGTTAATACCACTACCGCCCCCGCTCGACCCGAGTCCGGAAGGAACGCTCGCGAAATTGCGGGCGATCGCCCGAACAAGCGCTGGGCTGACGACGGGGAAATTTCCCCGACTGGCGTCGACGTCCTGCTCGGCTCGACTGAGGCACACGCCACGGGCGTCGAGGCACACGCCCTTGGTGTGCCTCGAGCCCCTGTGGCCCCTGACGTGCCGGCCACGACAGAAGGCGCCAAATCGGCGCCAACCAGCGCAGCCGGCACCCCGCGTCCGCGTCAGCGCCGCAGGCCCGTGGGCCCTGACGCGCCTGTGGGCCCTGACGCGCCTGTGGCGCCTGACGCGCCTGTGGCGCCTGACGCGCAAGTGGCGACGGGTGCCCAAGTGGCGCCAACTTTTTCTGCAGCCCAACTGCAGCAGCTTCTGTCCCTGTTACAGCAGCACGCCCCTGCTGTTACTGAAGAAATAGCTACACCGAACGCGACTTCCGTTTCGGCTAAAAGCGAAAAGGCGAACACGGAGCCCGTCAAGCGCGCTCGCACGACGAAAGCCGGAAGGGGCGAAGACACGCGCGCCGCCGCCACTCCAGTCATGAACAACCCTATCGACAGCGACAACGAAGGCGACGATGATGGTGAGGGACATGCCGTAAATGCCTCTTTCGCACCCACTGAGCAACTCCCCCCACTCCCCTCACCCAATCCCACTCTAACCGCCGCCTCGTTCAAGAACGCTGCCGTGCGCGAGCAAGCCGAGGTCCTGGAACACCTGCGGGCGTACCTGAAGCATGCGGAGCACAAAGTGCGACACAACGAGCTGGAAAGCGCCCTCGAATACCTTGGTGAAGCCTTCACACTCATCAACAACCGCTTCAAGCTACTCCATGTCGCCGACTACACCAACTTCCGCACCGCAAATCGCTTCAAGCTCTATGAAGACAAGAGTGTCTTCACCTCACGCCCGTTCAAGCAGGCCGTCGCGGACGTGGCGGCCATGGAGCGCGCCCAAGGCAATTTCACTCGCACTCCACGCGGCGGAGGGCGCGGGCCCATGGCATTTGGCAACAAGCGCGGTCCCCCACTTGACGGCAATGGCAGGAGCTTTCGTGGCGCATGCTTCCGTTGTGGGCAGCCGGGCCACATGGCCAATGCTTGCCCGGAAAATGGGGGGGGAGCCCAAGGGCCGGCGTCGGTGGTGTGAACACCCTAGGGGGTGGTGCCGAGAGGCTCGAGTGAGGGTGATGGCACTAGGAAGTGCGAGGCCGCTGGCCTATCCCATAGGGGATGTGAGAAAGGCCGCGGGCCTACCCCAAGGCAAGGGGCGTAGGACTAGGAGTCCTAGGTGAACATGTGATTGGAAATAATGTTTGTATGCTCTTATGAATGAGTGGAAAGGCCTAATGGGCGAAGTCGTTGAACTAGCTTGAAAAAAAAAAAAAAAAAAAAAAAAGTGGGAGCATGCGCTCTTGATGCGTGGACCTGAAACAACACCCGCACGGCATGGCGGCCTACGGTACACGCGAATTAGAAAGCGAGAGAAGGAGAGAGATAGCGAGCGTTAAAAAAAAAAAAAAAAAAAAAAAAAAAAAAACGGAAAGCGGTAAGATGTTTGGGCTATGCACCCATACAACGCAAAGGAATCACGTGCGAAGGGGGGGCAAACGGAAACGAGATGGTAGGGGACTTGGGGTCCCACAATACCACGAGCACACGCCATTATGCAAGACAAAGGTGGCCAAAGAGAGAGAGAGAGAGAGAGAGAGAGAGAGAGAGAGAGAGAGAGAGAGAGAGAGAGAGGGAGAGAGAGAGAGAGAGAGAGAGAGAGAGAGAGAGAGAGAGAGAGAACGCCTTGTTCAAAGGCTAAGGCCAGAATCATCGAGTTGGGTGGCAAGTGTCACCATTCTCACGCGATTGGTCCAGAGTTTGACTTGGTTTTTTTGCCAGGATTGGCTTCCGAGTTTCTAACCAAACCTACTGCCTGGGTCTTGTCTAAACCTACCATTCCCAGTCGACTTCCTGGTGTGATTTGGGTCTTGGGTTTTTAACGAGGCATGCCCCATGTTGCCCCCACACCCCATGGTCCAATGGCCACAGATTTGCCGGGGGATGGAATGATCGAGGGGCGTGGCCCCTACGAGTTTGCGATCACTGACAAGGTCGTCACGACCATGCGTGGGCGCCTGCGCACGGCATTTCCATGGTGGAGCTCATGGTGTGAGAGTAGTTTCATACTCTCGGTAATCTCCAACGGCTATTGGATGCCATGGAAGCATGGCCCACCCACGCCGTTCCGGCAGGACAACCACGCGGGAGCGCTAATTCATTACACGTTCACCAAGCAGGCGATAACCGAGCTTCTCGAGAGTGGTGCGGCCGCTCCCGCCCCAACGGAACAACAGCTATGTATTAGCCCGCTGAATGTC